TGCAGGAGTTGTGTTTGTTCCCATACGCAGCACAACAAACACTGGCTCTCTGAAGTCAAAGTGAGCGGGAAGTTCAGTTCACAGACTGTCATGGGACAGAGACTCAGAGATGAACGAGTGGACACGGGCACAAGCAGCGGAAGACGTTTGGACGGACGACAGAGCAGCTTCTACGTAGGGATAAAATGTTTGGAAAGAAAACAAAGGGGTTGATACGAGTCGGTTGGCGGAGGACAAAACAGCATGGAAAAAGGAGGACAAGTTTACAAAGTGTGGTCTAGAGGGTTGGTAATGGACAAAGGGTGACGTTTGGACGGACGAGAATTGAAGACGTTGGACAAAGAACGTTACGTTTTGACTGAAGACAAATAAACTGAGGAGGAAGTCGTTGGGGTTTGACCAAAGTCTGGAGTCCACAGAAGACAAAAAAGGATAGAAGACAGAGGAGACAAGAGACAGAAGACATTGGAAGAATGATGGACGTGTGAGGGAAAAATAAGGGAGTTCACAGAGGGGTTTTAGGAGAGTAGTTTGAGGACAAAGACATTTCGACAGAGGACAGAGACAACAAGAAAATAGACAGATGAATTAAAAAATAACACAAAATACCATGCGTTGGACAGAAGATTGTTTGTAATCAAGACTGAGGACATTGAAGATTTGATGATGGCTAAAGACGGTTTGGACAGAGGACACAGGAAATCAAGGGGTGCGGCTGGAAGATGAAAGGTTGGAGATAAGACAGAGAGCTATAGGCAGCTTCAAAGCAGTGCATTGACATTTGAACCAGGGATAAAAACAAAAGCTACTGAGGGGAAGAGTGGAAACAGAGAAGATTTCAAATGCAGTTTAGACAAAGGGAACAGCAGCATGAATGAAGGACTGAAGTCTGGACAGACGAGAGTTAAAGTTGGACCAGAGGGCGACAGTTTGGTAGTTTCGATAGAGGACAATAAACGACAAGTAACATAAACTAAGTGTTGTGGGCAAACGCCAGGAGATACAGACTAAATGGCATTTGTATACATGTTAACTGATATGCTAAGCTAATAGACACTCTTTGGCTGTAGATGGATAGAGGGATGGAGGGATGGATGGATCGATAGATATAGAACCATAGCTAGATAGTTAACTAGACAGACAGACAGACAGACAGACAGATCTCAGCAGTAAACACTTGTCAGTGTCATATTTGCATAGATAGACAGGTGTGAGATGATGATCCAAAACAAACATCCAGCTGCAGAGCTCCATCTGCCCATCAGTGTCAGGCTGCTGCCCCGAAGTACCACTGCAGGCCCAAAAATGTTCCCACCTTCTGTTTACACAACATCAGGCTCCCGCTTAGCTCCAGCCGTCTCAGTCAGAGTCAAACTCTTCAGCCCTTTTTCTGACAACACAGCTATACACACAAACATGGTGGGAATTTGACAGGCTCAACGTCAAAATGTTCTAATTGCAGCTTTCCAGGCTCCATTTGTTTATATTCATCACAGAACTGCATCTCGTCTTCTTTTGTTATGTGAACGTGCTTGACAAAAAAAAATAATAAAAAAGTTGCAAGACAGGTAAAAAGAGACACGACCTCCATCAATGACACAGGCGTGAGGCAGGTAAAAAGAGACAGGACCTCCATCAATGACACAGGCGTGAGGAGGACTCTCCCTCAAGTCTTGAGGGACAGGCATTAACAAAGTCCCTGGTGTCTTGCTGGGCGACAAATCTGCTTTGAGGTCTGAGGCCATTGAAGAATTTAAGGCCATTCAGCCTCAAATTTTTTATGTAAGAGCTAAAAGTTAGCTAAAAGATTAGCGTCAGCTCTCAGTCAAGGCTGTAGCTAACTCCTGCTTGGGTAGCTAAGGAATAGCCAAAAAGAATTTAGTGCTAGTCCCAGCTACACTTAGGCAGGGGTTCCCAACTCCTGGTGCAGGGGGCCAGTGCTGGTCCGTAGGTCATTTGGTACGGGGCCGCAGTGGAAAAAAAAAAAGTTGTACTTCAGTTGTACTCATTTTTCCCGATACTTACAGAACGAAGATATTTCATTACGAAAATGTACTGAACCTTCTGGTCCGTAGTAACGGTTGATGTCTGCTGATTGGTCCTTGGTACAAAAAAGGTCGAGGTTTTTTCAGACTTCAAAACAGAGCAGAACTAAAATCAATGAAATTTTAATCCAAAGTTGTATGGAAACCTGTTACGTTTACTGGATCTTTGAACCATCTAATTTATTTATTACCACAAAACCTCAAAAATGTTTCCAAAGAACTTGACTTCGGTCCATAAACCAGACAAAGAAACAGGTCATGACCTGGTATTAAAGACATTCTGCAGATTTCTACAAAGAAGGAATTCTCCTACAGACAAAAATCTCTTGAAATAGTTTTGTAAACCATTTATTTTGACATTTAAAACAACCTTGTATTCCTGTTCCTGAGAGACTACCTCATAGTCAACCGTTTGATGTGGCTGTTGTCAAAACACTGTTTTGACTGTTTTCCGAGCCTGCCTGTTCTAAAAGAGGACTACAAACAGTCGACCGTTTCCTGCCGATTAAAACGCCAACACCTTGTTGAGCTTCCTCACACCTCCATCAGAGCTCTGAGGAGAAGCTGTGAAGTCTGACAGCACTGACAGTAAAAAAAAAACACAACTCTGGCTGCAGAATCAAGACAACGGCTCCAGCTGTCAGGGACCAGAATCCTCCAGAGACAGAGGTGAGACCAGAGGGACATTCTTCAGAGCCCAGGGGGGATTTACACAGACGCTGTCCACTCACACATTGTCTCCAAAACTTCCCTCTGCTATATCCGTAGCTCTCTAATTAACCGCCAGCATTGTCTGCAGGATTAGCAGCGGCGGGCCGGCGGCGCAGGTCCCACTGCGGCCCTCTCTCAGGATCTCACAGCAACTGGCACAGGCGTAATCCTCCCCAACATGGTGCTTTAAAGAAGCCGGGTGTGGGTCGGCCGTAATCCAGGTATCACATATCCCACTACACGAGCTCTTGAACTTCTCAATGAGCAAGCACTCCGGCTGAAAAGGTGAAGGGCGAGGGGGAGGATCAGCTATAATGACTCAGCAGTGTTTGTCAACTCAACAAACGTACAGTTTGAGTTTTTCGTGAAGGACAAAACAGGTGTTGTTTCCTATTGAATAACTTAAGAGTTTTTCGGGAAGGACAAAATAGGTGTTGTTTCCTATTGAATAACTTAAATAAAAGACCACATAAATTAGTGGTAAAGTATTTGGGGAGCCGACGGGATGGAAAATATAGTTGCCTAAAAGCCGGAATGTCAGCGGTTCACCCATTCGATTCGTAGACTAAACAGGAACTAGCGCTAGCATTAGCCCAAACCTCTGACACAGAGTGTTTTCTTTTGTTTTTTTTACCATTGTCTAGATACTGTTTTTGTCACTGCTGTCCTTCAAATGCGAACAAATATTTTCCCAGCATTCAACAGGAAAAGGTTTTACTACATGAGATTATAGGATTTTCTTTTAAGTCAACTACACAGTTATTATTGTTTCGGGGTAGTGTCTGTCAGTTGAGTGTTAAAGTGATTTGTTTGTACTAAAGCATGCGAAAATGACATCTCAATAAATCCGCCGCTACATTCTGTGTCATCTGACACGGCCTTGCCGAGACAGAGACGGGTTTTTCTGCTGACAAACAGGTGCCTTATTTAAATGGAAGTCACTGTCTGACTCTTTATCTCACTTATGTGTGTGTGTGTGTGTGTGTGTCCTGGCCTCCCTGCAGCTGCCTGGCACTGAGAGCTGGGGTCGGACCAGCAGGCACAGAGCTCTGCCGGACACAGGAAGCTCCTTTGGGGAGGGAGAGGGTGAAGGCGGTTTGGGGTTTAAAAGAGTAGGGATAGGGGTGAGGGGGGGTGAAAAGACATGCTGTCTTTTTCTCTTTTTACTCTCTCACCATTCAGTTCTTCCCCTCAAAGCATTAGTGATGCATTCCTCCAGTTCAGCAACAAACAGGGTAATTCAATTTCCCCGACAAGCCACACTGTGTGAAATTTCTTTTGTGACTCTGGGCCTGGTTATAAAACCTCTCAGCCTCACTCATGTCTTGTTTGTTTACTGCTTTGTTTAGGTCAGACCCCCAATTCCAGCCCCCAATAAACAGCGGGGGGTCCAAGAAGATGATGGAGTCTCTAACAGACAGAATGTCCCCTTCGACCCACAATGTATTACAGATCTACGATTAACGTAAAAAAATAAATTACAGGGCTCCATCTCTTACAGCGGAATTCCATCCCTACAGCGTGCTGTAACTTAATTTTTGCCGTCCGAACACATACTGTATATAAATACCTACGTCACTCATCTATGTTAACACAGAGCTAACATCATAATCTCGGACATAAAAACATCAGAAGAGTCCGAGTTACGCCTGGGAGTCATAATGCAGGGCAAAAAGTTCCCAAAAAAATAACACAAAAGAAAGAAAGTGAATGTAGCACAATACACTAAAATAAAGTCGTCCTCCGCGAATAATACTAGCAAGCTATAAGCTATAAAAGCAAAAGAAAAAAAAAAAAAATCCCCAAAAATTTACAGTTGACACATATATGAGTTATACATTTTAAATAATTGAAAATGATAGTAATAATAATAATAAAAATCAGCACAGGATATAAATATTCTGTTCCATTCTCCAGTTTCCCACCCCACTGGCCTGGCGTCAGGGCGGCAGCAGCTGGCCGACGGTACGGAGGAAGTTGACAAAACCAGACTGGTGACCCTGGTGCTGACACCGACCTCACGCCTGTCAACTCTTTGGAGGTCAAAAACACAAGGGTGTCTTTCAGCGAAGCCCAGAGGCCTGGTCTGCACACTGACCAGCTGGCTGTCCCGGCGCTGCATCGGGAGGAAATACCAACACATTCATCAGATCTACACAGAACAGAAGAGGAAACTAGATTAGAAATAATTGATGAAAACATAAGTGGGGGAAAAGGGGGTGGAAAAAAGAACATACATTTCAACAGAAATTAATTTACTAGGAAAAAAAATTTAAAGTAATAATAGCTGTACGAATATTAAACCCTTAAATTGAATTAGTGCATTTAAATATCTTAAATTCTCCAACAATAACCGATATTTGAAAACAACTCTCTGTATCGAACGAAAGTCACGACCATCTGCTGCCACCTAGTGTCCACTCCTGGTCCAAACATTAATGAAACAGATCCGTCGAGCCACGGCTCCACAGTCAAAGTTGGTTTTAATTTTCAAAACACATCATTTCAACTTCAACAAAAGCATCCACAGGTTTTACATGTGCACAAATTAGAAACGGCAAAAAATATGTAGAAAATCAAAACAACGGTCAAAATCTAGTGAGTAAAAATCCAGAATGCAATAATAATAATAAAAAAAAATCTATTAATCATATTCACATTAATAAAGCATTAACTTGTACTGGCTACAGATACTAAAATAAAATTAAATAAGAATAATAAAAAAAAAATCTACAAAAGCAATTCCAAATAGAAACCATAAAATAAGCCGCTAAGGGAAAATAGGAAAAAGGAAATGCCAAGCTCAGTATTTTAACCCTAGTCTGAAAATGTTCACAATCTGTACAAGAGTTTTGGATAAAAAAGCAAAACAACGTGACCACATAGAAATAAAGGAAGAATGGAAGGATCATTAAAATTCAGTCTTTCGGAGAGGAAATGTTTTTAAACCACAATATCCTTGTTTTCAGCCCAATAGAACAGAGCAACAGTAAATAAAAACCCAAAATCATTCACTGAGTTGGTTCAAATAAACTCAGGCTTCAGTGGTAAACGATGTCCAGTTCATACAGAGACGAGAGAATATTGATCTGTTTACAGCATCGGCGCTCACTCACTTACTGCTGAAGGAAAAGAACAACCAGCAGGGGCAGCAGCATCACTCAGTCTGGTGCTGCCACTGAAATCCTGCCTAGCAGTTGATGAAATGTTTGTTTTTGTTTTTTACCTTGAGATGAAATACTGTACATACACTGTGTGTGTAACAAACGTAGCCACCGTGTGATTCAGGTTGAATTCATAGACCGTGTATAAGAAACGGACAGTGGTCCAGCTCTGTTTGCAGACTCGAGGCCTTGAGAGAGCTGTGGTTTTGGTGTGGTTTTGAAAACCATCTCAAAATGAATCACTTTCGCTCAGTCTGACATCCATTAAAATTTTTCCTGACGATCTTAGAATGTCGTGTTTGCCTCTCTTCGCCTCGGTCATTTCTTAGTGATCAATTAATATGGACTCGGACACAGAGAAGTACCAATATAAATCATAAATGTTGGAATCATCTAGTTCTCCCACGAAATCTTTGCGTATCACTGGAGATTTTCCATTAAAAACAATGACGAATGTTGGTGAAAACAAAACTCACAAACTGGAGTTCTCATAGTCATAACCTCTCGCTTTGGTCAAAAACAATAACAAAGGTTATGTGTATATATCTGTACACACGGTATCCAGGTGTGGTCAGGGAATTAAACTAAACATGGATGACCAACAGTCTGGTGAAGAAACTGCAAATGAAACTTAAAGACTGGGAGCAACACTCCTCCCGGTACTGCAGTGCTTCGATCATCGTCGTAGTAAAATCGCTTTCAGTAGTACAAAAACGTTTTTTTGGGGGGGGTTTGGGGTCGGAGGGGTTGCATTCTTATCATGCAGCTCATCTTTGTCCTTTTGTCAAATCCTCTGAGAGCGTTATCGAGTTCACAGCTTCACAGGTTTATAGTCACTGCTGCGGCTCATCACGTCTTTTCCTAAAGATAAAAACAGAACAAACAAAAAAAAACAGCATCCGAACCCTGAAGGATCTGCAACGCGGCCGGAAAACCGGGTCCCGGGGCGTCAGATTAAAGACGATGAACGACAAAGATAAACGGACGTGATATTACAAGTCAATAACTACAAGAGGACGATGGGAATGTTTGAACGTTGACCTTTGTTCCTGACGATGCACGTTAAGACATTTCAGTTCATGCTGCGATACAGTACTTTACAACAAAAAATCCACCCAAAACAAATCAACCAATGAACGACCAGTAGTACGGTATTCAAGGTCGGTCTACAAGCACCGCGATCCCCGACGCTGTGGCGCTGCGTTCAAGTGAATGAAAAGATCATGCCTGTAATTCACCTGCACCACTGATGGGAAGGTTTCTGTCTAAGACGAGGTTCGATTCCTTATGTGTATTGTACAGTCGGCAAAAGCACATTTGGTTTTTCTATCATGGGTCAGCTAACGCTGGGGGGAGGGAAGGAGAGAGAGAGGGGGCGGGAGGGTGGGGCGCTGTCTGGAAACTGATGTGGAGGTTTGAAAAAGAAAATCTGACTGGATATGAGTGATTGGATGTGAAGTGTGTAAAGACTTCAGACTTCAGGGAGGTCTAATGTGCTGCTGCTGCTGCTGCTGCTGCTGTTGTTGCTGCTGCGGGGCTGTCGGGCTCTGGTCGGCTGTTGGCCAGGTACTTCGCTCGCATACTGGAGGTGTACTGTAGACAGAGAGCAGGAAGTGACACGTGTGTTAAGAAATCTGCAGCAGGTAGATATTAGATAGACTGAACATCATGTATGAAAAACCTCTGTGTAGGATTTAAGTCAGGGTTGTCCAAAACGGGGGTCGCATTCAACTTTAAACCCTCAGGTTTTTTCCGAGGCCACCACAATTGGAGTAGTGCTTTGATTTTTGAGCTTTAATTGTGCATCTTAAATAGGATAAAATGTCAAGTTATTAAATATGCGAAATAAGTAAAACTATGGTAAAACATTTAGTCAAATAAAGCATTTAAATCTGACCAAAAATTTGGCAAAAAGTCAGTCGGCGGGACAAACAGAAGACAGAAAGACGGAGACAGACAAAATGTGTTTCAGGTAGCTGTTATCCAAGCTACTTGAAACACATAACACTTAGATACAACTACAGTGAGGACAAGGTGACTCAAAGGTCATAAAAAGCTGCATATTATTAAGAAAAGGTAAATAGATTAGATCAAAGGTAGCTTGATGAAAGATGACGAAAACGACAGCAAAAATCGTAACATAATTTCCAAGCAGATAAACCAGGTATAGATAAAATGACCAACCTAAACCAGATTATTACAATGTTTTTTAAGCCTATAAAGTATAAGATTTTCCACAATGGGACCAAGAGCCAGCCTATGGACATACCTGATTTAAACTTAAACTGAAAGGTAGGATAGGGGAAAAAAACAAAAACATAAAATAACAAACAGGTTACAATTTCCTGTGAAGGTCGGGAAAGTAAAAAAAAAAAACAACTCAAAATACTGGTTGTAAATCAAACATCAAAAGGCTGCAGTGCAGGGACAGACAGATGAAAAGATTGGACATGCATTTCAAAGCACTGCAGAGCACGATTCACTCCACTGAGCAGAGAAAATCCTACACAGATTATCCTTCAAACCACAGCAGAGTCCACAGAGCTGGAAACTAAAGGGATCGTAAATGATTCATCTGCACAAAAAAAAAAAAAAAAAGAAAACATCACAGCAACAACAACAGCTAAAGAAGACAGGGACACTCAGAGGAGAAGAGTTGGACACCAAAACAGCAGACTCCTGCTCGTTTGTATACATCGGGGGAAGCAGCCGTGGGAAAACAGGCAACACAAGGACAGAGGCTGCACTTTTTTTAAATCATGGGTGTCAAAACAACTATCACTGACTGTCACTGATGGACACCTGATCGCGATGATGTTTTTAAAACTATAATAACCTTTCAAAGGTCTGGATCAAAGCCCAACCTCCTTCCTGCTCCAGTTTTATAGCCTACAGTTTGTGGATTAGAAACACCACTTAAGCAACAAAGAAACACTTGACCTCTTAAACTTCAATAAATATGACGAATGACTTATATATTTTACATTTCAGAAAATGTTTTTTTCCTCTTTCTATACTGTAAAAGGCACATTTTTTACAGATATGTGTATATGAACCAAATGCCTTGCATTTCCACATCTGTCCACTAGGGGTCATAATAATGCGATGTGATGCAATGTAAATCCAGAGTGTATGCATTATTTATACCTGCAGTAGTGCAGGGAGAAGCACAATTCCAAAACTGTTTGGTGCTAATAATCATCGTCTTCCAGTCTTCCGGGTAAATCGATAATATTAATCAGTCTGAAGTCTTTCGAATACATCTGACAACTGTGTCATTCAGCTCTTCATCCTTGGACTTAATGACTGAAGAGTTCTTAGGTGAGATGAAAACATTTTCCTGCAGCGTCTAAATGACAACACGGGAACCGGCTGTGTGTTAGAGTGGGATTATTGGACAAACAAAAGTGCGTCCAGTTTTGCCCATATGTTTCAATTTTCAATCGGACTCACTTCAATATTCATTTTGACACTCCTACACTGCAAATCTTATGCTAATAAAATCATCTAATTCAGTGAGCACGAAGCCACTG